AGAGAGAGAGAGAGAGAGAGAGAGAGAGAGAGAGAGAGAGAGAGAGAGAGAGAGCGTGGGTGAGGGACATAGGAAGAGGGTTGAAAAAGAGAGGACAGGGAGAGAGATACCCGATAAAGGGATTGGGGATGCTGACGGAAAGCGCTGGACCATTGAACACCGACCTCTGGGCTCTGAACTCTCCGCCACTGATGGCTACTGGGCTATGGGACATCATATAGCTATGGGAATAACCTCTTTCTCTGTGTTATACCCTCTCTAACATGGGCACCTACGTACTCCACGTACCTATAGCCGAAACTGAACTAAATGCTGGGGGCGAACTGAGGAGATAACGAGCGAACTCGCGAAACGACCATAGATCAAGCGGCTTAATTATCTCTACGCATCGCTGCCTACACTGCCGTATCTACCTAAGTTGTATATATACATATATGCACTGCCGCATTACGTATTACACCCACGTTTCTACGAAATTCATATCGTATAATGAAAATTAGAAATTTCTCATTCGGTTTAAGATTTTGGATATTTGGGTATATTACTCATTTTTTAAAAGGATTTTTAGATTTTTTTAATTAACAGTAGAAATTTTTCTTTCTCCATGCAGGGATTATCATTTTTATCGGTTTTATATTATGGCTCGTGGATAATGAAATGATTTTAATAATCTTATACGTTATGGTATTCCTCTTTCTGTGCAATACTTGCACGTGTGGATAGTTCTTCATGTGCGAGCATACGTGAATGGACTTTCTAAGCCTTTTATCTGTTCATTTCAGTATGTCAACTGTCTCGGTTCGTTAGATCTCGTTTCTTCGGCCCATTATTGCTTGACTCACCGATCCTCGCATGAATGAACTAATTCTATAATCCTGTAGCACGTAACGAAACGCGATAATATATTCGATGGAATTTAGATCAGATTTTTAATGTGTATACAAACACATAGAAGTACCATTATCGAAGCTGCATTCAGTTTATGCTGTATAGGTGAATTTGAATTTAATAAATTTTGAAAGATTGATACGACGAACATGAAGTCTGAGTTTTAAAGCATAAAATTTCTATGTAGATATACGGAAGTAGAAAGTGAGCGGAGAAAAATAAAAAATAATCAAAAAGAAATGTTCTCCTTTGTTCAAGAAAAAAAAAGAAGAAAATTTTGAAAATCTGTTTCTTGTCATAAGAATGTGGAATTGTCACGATATTCTTGGTTCTAGACTAGATCGTACGATTGTATGTATGCATACGTATGTTCACTTTTTTCACATCATGCAAATTTCTCGATAAGAATCTAACGATAAGCACTTCGAGAAATTTCCGAGTCGACTGTTTTCAAAATGGATATAAAATTCATTGAAACGAAAAGTTTCATGGTACTAACGCTTATTTTTTATATAATTTATTTGACTGCTAAGAAGCATCTGGACGTCTTAAAACAACGAAAAGACTAAATAACTACATATGGTAGATCTACAAAGAAAAGTTTAACCTGGTAATTCGAAACGGATTTCGCAAAGTTCCGACGGCGCGCAAATGCGGCACTAAAAATCCCACAGGAAAAATAACCTGTGAAGTGTGGATATCGTCAAAGTTGAATTGCATTATCTAAATTACTTCCATTCAATTTACAGGATATGGTATAAAAGTTTTTTTTTTCCATTGAAAAAACAGTGTCCCCGATATTCACCTTCTTCGATATTCGTGAAACTTTCGATTGTAGGAACATTTGACTGTTTGAAAAACCAGCAATCTTCCATTTAAAAATTCCTTAAAAGTTGACGTTATCAATGCTACAATTTAAAAAATATAAAAATCAGACAATCAATTTTTTCTAACTTCCATCGTTTTGCAAAACGTTTCTTTATACCTGAAACCAGTAGGTACAGAAGGTTAAAAAAAAATCAATGCCACGAGGGGTTTCTGCAAAATCAGAATGTTCATATGAAAATAGCTATACGCTCTTATTTACAATAACATTAGGTGTCCCGTAAATTTATTCATATTTCAGCTGTATTTTTATTTGCAATAAGATATGTTGATACGACTGCCAGTCCTCTCTTTCCTCCTCATCAAGCTCTCACCCTAACCGGACCCGGCTCAGCACCAACCCTCGTTCCTTTTTATCTCCGCAGAGTTTCCACCCCATCAGACTCACCCCCTTCTGCCGGCTCGACCCACAATCCACCCCTTCACAGCCCCCAGCCGCACGCACCCCGGCAGTCATGGCGGCAGTTACGGAATCAATAAAAGTGGTGCTCATGCGCCTCAACTGCCGTCGCTACTGCCGTCACCCCTCGTAGTTTCCACCCTTCCGTACTTCCATCCTCGTAGACCATCCTCTCTATCCTCTCTGCGACTCCCTCAAATCCACCCCTACTGTCCCGTACACAAGCGCGCGCACGTGTACATACACCATATACGTGGTCTTTTGTACAGGAGTTGGTATACACAGAAATTGCGAGGATCCACGCAACCCTCGACGTCGAATCGCGCTAACTTCCACCGTATCCATCTTCACGGAAACTACCCTCGAAACCGTACAAAAATAATTGACTAGCTGATCTGCAAACAGTCTATTTTGAAAAGATTTACTCGAATAGGTGCTATATCGTAACTGGGTTATTCGCCTATGCTACAGTTAAGAAATATCATTTTTTCACCTGCAAGATGTATGCAAAAATCTCGAAAAATGACGAAAATTATTAGATTCCGGATTATTCGATCATGGGTTTTTCGGAAACTGCGCGCACCTGCCGAAGCAGGTGTTTTCGGGTAATTTCGTAGACACTTATTTTCGTGTTACGTGCACTTTTATGCTTTTACTTTGGTGGCAAGAGCCGCGTAAAGTTATGCTCCAATTACTGGTTGAATTATTTTTAATAAATTCGCAGTTAGTGTTTTTAACGGTTATAACTACAATTAGTATTAAACCGCGCGTGTATTGCACCTACATGGAGAGGCATCTTATAATGATATGATATCAAAATATATTACTGACTCGATATCCGCTTTTCGGTAATTTGTGTCCGATTACAATTTACCGCCATGCTGTACATTCAATTTGGATTATAAAAAAAATTTGGGATTTGCGTAAATTTGAATTTGCGTACGCGCACCAAAATCAACTAATATATTTATATTGCGCCATAAACAATAAGCCTTAAAAAAAAGGACCAAAAAAATCTACGTCTCCTCGAAATAAACATGAAAATTTCTGCCGTCAAAATAATACAATATGTCACCCACGGCGAATAATCTAAAAAAATGTTCGCGATTGCTCTGTCAAATAAATAAAATACTGCAATTCCAGCAAAGTGTCTCTACCGCAAAACAATCCTCCCCTTGCCCGTCACGTATATCACTCCCTAATTTACCGCACGTAACAACCACACTTCCTCGTTCGATCTCAGCGTGCGCTTGATCGAAATGCGTCACTGCTAATTTCACAGATATCTGATTAATTAACCAACCCGACCCACCCCATCAGTCAAGAATAATTAATCGCTGTGCCGTGCGCTGGTAAACAAGCAGTTCGGCAGAGAGCAGGTATAGGTTTTCCAGTTGATGCAAGGGGTGGCAGGTAATGTCGGTATGATGTTGCGCATAAACTGCGGCGAGTCATAGGTACCTAGAGCAACCTCACGTATAGTGCGCATAGTAACATACACCTGCATTAGAACAGAATCATCCCTTGTAACACCAACCCCTAACAGCAACCACACACCATCCATCCGTCTAATAATCCAAAGAGAACCAATCACCCATATTTCAACCCTCTGCATACCCCCCACCCCACCCTCAAACAAATCCTTATTCCTCAAGTACTAAAAGAAATCGCAATAACCAACAGCTATGGTACCAGCATGCTAATCATACCATGACGACTATTCGAAAGACTCGTAAGGGTTCCAACCCTTCCTTCACCTAGAATCTTTGCTTCGTTCAGGACCGACGATATACACAACATGCAGTCAGCCGCCGTCGTGCGCTAAGAGACACGAAAGGACGCTTACACCTCGCTTCACGGTAGGAAGGAACGAACGCCCCCTTTTTCCCAGCGAATGGGCCATACTCTCGAGCGAAATAGGCCATTGCTGCAGCACCCAATGGGCAATGCAGCCCCATAGTACGTTGCTATACGATCTGTACAGCCCAGCGACGTAGCCGTACGTACCAAGCGTACGTTGCGGCAA